GAAGGTGAAGAAGCTTACCCGAAGTCTCTTCCTTATAATTGGCAGAAATCTCAACCCACGTTGTCTGAACAGCAGATTTAAAGAAAAACCTTTACTAGAATTCTGATAATGCTGGGTGTGCTCCCTGTAGCCAAGTGTCAAAACAAAGTCCTATTTCACAATCTCAAATTAAAAGCTTTAAAATTTCAATTAAAGTTTTACTTAATTGAGAAAGAAAGGAATGGTCAGGTATTATTTAATTGTTTGGCTTGGTTTCACTGTTTTGTTTCGTTTTTTAATTTCTTCAACTGTTTTTTAAAAAAGAGGAGTATGTAGTTTGCAATAAGCCATAGAAGGTCTCTTTTAGCTCTAAAAATGTGGCATTCTATAATTTTTAAAAATCATAATATACTTGCAGAAGGAAGGTGAGGGATGCCAATAAACTATTAGCAATAATGCTAACATTTCATTATTTTAATTATTAAAAGGTTCAAAATTCTTGATTAACACAATTAGTTGTAAAGTTAAGTTTTTGCTTGCTTTGTTCTGTTTTCTCAAATCATATGAAATAGTTGTATTTTATCTGTTTAATTTACTAACCATTCTGATAACCTGTATATGCAGTTCTTTCTTCATGGAATTTTCAAAGATATGGGTGATTTCAACAGTCCGAAGAGCTGTGTTATAACTCCCTGTGTGCAGGATCTGCATTTGTAGATTCAACCATGGATCCAAAGTATCTGGAAAAAATATGACAAAAAATAATACAAATAAAAAAACAATACGGTATATTCACATAGCATTTACATTGTATTAGGTATTGTAAGTAATCTAGAGATGATTTACAGTATATGGGAAGATGTGCGTTATATGGTTATATGCAAATACTACATCATCGTGAGCCTTGAGCACCCTCAATTTTGATATCCAAAGGGTCCTGGAGCCAATTTCCCATGAATACCAAGGGACAACTGTACTTTCCTTTTAGAAGAGCAGGTAAAAAGTAATAGTTCTATCTTTCTTTATACTCTATGCTTTTTTTTTCCTACAGATTAATGAATGGTTTAAGTGTGGAAGTTTCCTAAGTACCTAATTCTTCCTTTAAAAAGAACTAACACTACCTCCTACCCCACTCCCTACCACACAAATTGGTCAGCATTTGGGGGAGGGAGGTGGGAGGGAATAGGGGGAAAAAAGTATTAGAAATTAAAGAAATGATCATCTCTGATATTCTCTTCCAGTTTTGCACATGAGCCATTGCAACTAATATCAATGAAATATCTTCCATTTGTAGCCAAAGTTACACAAATTGTTTATCTAATAGTATGTCACTTATTCATTCAACAGACATTTCTGAGCCTTGATTTCTATGCTGGGTAATTCATAATACCAAACAGCTGCTTCGGTGAAGTGAAGGAAGAAACTTCCCTGTTAGGTAGGAAGCCAGAACTTTTCAAAGGCAGCTTAGAGCCCAGTGTAAGGTAATTACAGAAGTAGGCCACAGAAGGAAAAAGACACAATTCCTTCATCATTTCCCTTGTCAATTCAATTTGCACAGTCACGAGGAATCCCTAAATCTTTTGACAAATTCACAAATCTGCAAACTGATTCACAATACACATCTAGAGAAAGTCTTACTGTTCAATATGAACATAAAATGATGTTTTCATGAATTACAGAGATTTTGCTTAAGATTTCCTCCTTTTTCCCCATATAACAAACACAAAAACACCCCTTCTCCTGAAAATCAGCAAACAGTCAAAGTCAGCCAAAAGTTTTGATTCCTGTGCTTGACATCTAAAAATGGTCATGAGGCTGTAACAGGCTGGTACAGTAGCTGTGGGTAGGCTTGGCACAGCAGAGCAACCTTAGAAGAAAATCCTGACCCACACTGTCCTTCACATGCTCAGTGTGGCTATGTGGTTTACCACAATTCTAGGTTTGTATCATGAAGATGTTTCTCGAATTAATATTAAATCTTTTAGAAAATTCAGGGTACAGAAATCTTTAGAAATGGAGACAATATGGTACAGTGAACAGAATAAAGATTGGGGTTAAAAGCCCAGGTTTAAATACTTCTATGAACCCCAGTTTTCTCATTTTTAAAACAAGCATAATTCCTACCCTTCAGGATTGTTATGAGGAAAAAAATAGGTAACCAAGTGTCATACACACCAGGTGTTCTCAAGTAGGGATGATTTTGCCCTGCCCCTCCCACCATCCACTGGGGACATTTGGCAAAGTTTAGTGACATTTTTGGTGATCACAACTAGGGAGGGGTGTTATTAGTGTCTAGTGGGTGGAGGTCAGGGATGTTGCTGGCCACCTTCTAATACATAAGACAGGTCCCATGACAAAGTATTATCCAGCCCGACAGTTGACAGTGTAGAGACTAAGAAACCTAGGTATGTACAGAGCTCATAGCAGATGGGCAGGAAATGGTGCTTATTATTATTACCTACACTATTGCTATACCAGATCTTATGTAAAACAGAAACATTGTGAGGGTAATGGATTAAATATTTCTCTAGCCCTTATAATGAATTAACTCCAAGGTTTCCTTGGAGATGTACATAATCGGTTAGGTGGCTTGAATACTATTCTCAATAGCTCCAGTGACATTCAGTATAATACCCAGGCTAAGACAGATGTCTACGAATGATTAAATAAATTTTCCTGTCAATGTTATTGTATGTCAAATAACAAACCTCTTGATATGTAAGACAACTAAAATGTGAGACAGGCGTAGGTTGAAAATACAATTTAAAGTAATTTGTTAAGGTTGATTTTCCAATATGTTCTGTCTTGGATCTCTCTTATGATAACCTGGTTATTTCTTCTGCGCTCTCCCATCTGCATTAGCAGAGCTGAGACTCTTGTGAGTGCTGGGCCTTCTCCTGCACAGCCCTCCCGGGACGATTAGGCTTTGGGGTCAGCGAGACATTGCACACTCTCTGTAAAATACATTCTCAAGCTCATGGACTCGTGAACCTCTTACATTTTTATTTCTCTGCTTTCATACAAACATGACATTCCTCTGTCTTCTCTATTATGAAATTGTCCCATGATGCTTCTCTGTAGGAATTTTTATTTGTAACTTTGAAAAATCACACAGTAGTTGGAATGTGTTAAAATTGGACTATTTTTTGAAATACCAATAATACAATTTCTTTTTTTCTTTTAACTCAGTCCATTAAATCAGATTCTGACATTTTCTGAGGAGGATCTGTATTAATTAAATCTGGTTTCTTACACACTGTTTTTGTGGCATTTTTTAAATTTGACATCCTCTCAAGTGTAAAAGTTTCCTTCTTTGTCTTGTCATGTGACATTTTTGACATTGTCACTTTCGCAATTCCTTGCCTCACTTGCCTCAACCATCCGCTGGCCAGTTCATCCTTTCTGCCTTGCTGTAGTGTTGTACCTGGAACACATTTCTAATATTGCTCATGCACAGACTTTTATTATTACTCTTTCATACTCAATTTGGTTTTCTGTTCACACTAGGCTTAAGACAGTGTTTTTTAAAAAATCTTTGTGTATCTACAAAGAGTGTAACACAATGCAGATACACCATAAGCCCCCAGTAAATGCTGATTGAATGAAGAAAGACAGATGCATGTTCAACCAAGTTATGTGATTACATTTTCTGAGTTGGCTAGGTAGACCCTAAAATAAAACATGTATGCCATTGCCCACATTACTTCGAAATAGAAGAAGAAGTCAAGCACTGTTGATTCCCAAAGACTGGTTTGTTTACACATTCTTTTCAATGCCACCTTGGTTCTTTCTATTTAATGTCAGGAACATCATGAGTATGTCACAGGTAGAATTTATCTGGGAGTATGTCACAGGTGGAATTTGTCTGTAAGTAGCACCAGATCTTATAGTAGATCTAAAGTTTTATAGCCAGTGGGAGGATTCTGAGAATAAATATTATTAAGGATTTATATCTATCTTGAGCCCCTTTAAGTCCATGAATAAGACACAATATTATATTCTTGATAAGTATAAAATGAAATAAAATGAAATGAAGTTAAGCAAAACCTTAAACATAATAAAGGAAGCCACCACACAGATGCAGTTTATTTATTACATGGTTACATACCAAATGGCACTGGCCTAAAAATTTCTTGCCAAATTTTTAATTTTATAACATATTGTCAGAATAAAGGATCTCAAGATTTCAAGATTACTTTTAAATAAATGCTATTACTTAAAACTGAGAAAAAATTTCAGGCTTGCCTTTAACCCAACAAATATTTATTGAATACCTACCATGTGTTAGACACTATTCTAGGTACTTGGAATATGGCAGTGATCAAACTTTCTGTCTGTAAAGCTTACACTCAATCCATTTTCATTTTCAACTGGAAGAATATGAAAGGAATAGTAGTTTGCTTCCTAAATGCACTAATAAATATATTGTTTGCATTTTTCTGATATATTTAATGATTTCATTAACTGGATTTTACATGAAAGAATTAACTTAGTAAGGAAAGAATATATGAGTTCTTTATGTATTTTTTCCAAATAGTCGAGACTAAACAGTTTGAAAGCTGTTTTCTAGAATGCTTCAGTGAAGGTTGGGTGAATTCCCAATTAGTATAATTTTCTACTCTGCTTTCTGATTTATTATTTTACTTACACATAATCACTGTTCATTGTCTGATAGAAATATAACAAATAGTTTTCTCTAGCTACATATTTAGGTGATATGTCTAAATTTTAGTGTTTTATTTTAAAATAAACAAACACAAAGAATTTGTCTAAGGAAAGGGAAAAATAGGCAGAAAAAAATAAAACTTACCTCTGGTCATTAATGTAAATCCAGTTGTCTGTACATTACAGGGAATTAGTCACTTTTTAGAAGGAGCTTTTAATTGCTTAATCTGAGTAATGTGGGCGATGGCATACGTGTTTTATTTTAGGGTCTATCTGGCCCACTCAGAAAATGTAATGGACCTAATTTTCATTTAGTGTAGGTCCGTGCAGTTCCTAAAACATCTAAATGGCTATTAATTTAATCAGGTAATTTAACTATAGCTCTAGAAAAGGCCACCAGCTAGTTGTCACGCGATGATTATGAAGATGACATTTTCATCCCATGATGCCAGAGGCAGACTTTGATACATCATTTTCTTTTTGAAGGTTAAACTCAGATAACCTGCCTTTGGCATTTAATTAGCTACATATTAAACACTCTTTTAATAATAAAATGATTAAAAATTTTATTGCTTCTCAAATGAGGCCCTCTTAGATAGATTTAATGACTTGGTTAGAGCTCTGTAGTTTGTGAACCAAACCTTACTTAGGCCAGTATATAGTAATGATATGCTTTACAGCTTGCAAAATCTGTATTTTATTCAAATGATGGCCATAATCATTTTGGATTAAACTTATAATGCTTTCTTCTGTATTTTTAAGTCTAACTGTTAAATGTCATTGGAAAGTAACCAGAAACCCATTGATACAAAAGTTCCAGAAATTATCAAGTTCAAGATTAAGAAAGAGACTATGAAGTCTGTTTAATGTTCCAAATCTTATATACTAATTGTTTACCCTTTGTAAAATCATGCCACCAGTGATTATCTGCAAAAATAAATAAATAAGTAAAATGATTGTAGACATGATGTCAAAGTATGAGTGGACTGCACATTCCTGTCCATATTTTCAGTTAATATTAGTTCTTCAGTGAAAATGGTCATCAAGAGACCAGCCATCGTTTATCCTTAGCATG